TATGATATTACAATCCGAGAAGTTAAGCGACTACTGCTGCTGAGATATATTATCCATGGGATTGAGAAATCAGTAGGACAGAGACTGGAAACTGGAGAAGCTATTGCCGTCAAGGAAATGGCCAAGCGTAGGGAAGATAAGAAATTACATTGTACATATCGTCGTTGTGTCGTATCCCTTGTCTTGTGTATTCTATGGACCTTTCCCAGAGCATAGACTTCCTTGTTTACTTCGTGACATTGGCCAATCAGCAAATTGCAAAAAGTGACGTAACAATGCTCCCTTTTCGCATCCGCTCAGACACTTTTCTCACTCAGACAGATTTTCAAGCGTGGTCGTAAACATTACCTCGTTTTCGCATTTTTGAACTCTATTCGTTAGTTTTCAGCTGTGTTTTGGAAACTTAAATGTAAATCAGATAATTCAATGGTCACCCTGTCTTCTTAGAAGTTTTAATTTAATTGCAGTAATAAAAATTAGTGTAGAAATAGCTGTGATAGACTAGGCTAAAATTCTTTAACGGTACTTTTTAAAAAACAGGTTGTTGTGTGCGATGAATCATAATGATGGTTTGAAACACATACCTCATTTCACAGGCGCCAACTCGCAAAAGCACTCTTAAAATAGCCCCGAAAATTTTGCAATGGTAAAGTATAGGAAGAATTTTTCGGGGGTCAAAGGTCGGGGAAAGGTCCATTAGAGCAGGGTGGGCAAGGTCTTTGAACCAAGGGCCAAAAATTTTGCCCACCTAAACTGACGGGCCATGTAAGTGGGTGTAAATCTTTGAACAATATTTACAATGTTACAAAAGCAAAGGTGGAAAACAGTAAGCAGCAATGATAAGCCTCATGACAAAACTAAATTTAATCGCAATCTCAACAAATTCCCTGAGACATTTTTAGATAAAACATGTTCTTAGTTTGGTTGTGTCAGCATCAGGCGGGCCAGTTTGAATTACCCAACAGGCCAGATTCGGCCCGCGGGCGGTGGTTTGCCCATGTGTGTACTAGAGTTTTGTTTTCATATTTCATGTCTGTTGTCCTCCTATATAACAGCAGCCCTAAACTGTAGGTAAATTCGTTAGAAGAGCATGTCGCACATCCGTGTTTTAGGCCAGTAAGGCGTTTTTTACACTGTTTTACCCGTTTTTTTTTACACTGTTCAACTATTATGCAGATACTGTTACATTTTTGAGGCAAATAAACATACATACATGAATAACTCTCGCACGGATAAATTTCCCTCCAAAATCACAAATTCAATAAGGTTAACACATTTTATTAGTTGTCAAAGTATATAACTATGAAACACTAGGATAATTGTCATCACACAATAATATAAAATAATAACGAAATTCACTTTCAGAGAATAGATAGGATTTTTCACATTTAGTCTAGAGAGAATACCCAATGAGACGGTTTATCCTATGGCCTACCACAACGTCAAGTTCGGTTACAAGTCCATGTCGAGTCCAGGTTTAGTTAGCCCAGGGGTAAAAATATTTCGATGAAAATCACGTCATAATGACCACGATTGTTACATTGTGCTCTTTATTATTTATAAACGTTAGCCTAGCTGTTGTAAATAAACTGTTTTTTTTTTTCATAAGGAAATTTGATTCTCCAGTCCAGTAACAAAGTCTATTATCTCTAACTGGCCCACTCCTTCCTTATCCATTTGTGATTGCTTGGACTGCAGGCTGCAAAATATTTTTATCACAACATATTTATGTTTGGATCATTTCACGAACTTGTCGGAATGAAGAACTACTTTATGAGTAATACTCGAGGTATCAGAAATAACCCCACATTGGTTTATGTGACAATCAATTTCCTCATGGTTTATGTGAAATTCACATGTGAAAATAAATATTCGAATATGCTAAGCATCAAATCTGGTAACACTCATACACATTCTTAAAAAACACCCCCCATAAGTTTATGTTAAAAATAAATCCATTTAGTTAATGTGAAACTTTATATAACGACACAAAATGAGGGAACACTACTTTATGTGAAATGCATATGTGAAAATTGATACATATTTAAGCATAATATCTAATAACTGTTGTTTTAATATTATCCTAGTATGGGTTATGTTACAATAATTTCACATTATTTTATGTTAAAATCGTATGTGAATAAATTTCACATTAGTTTATGTGAATCCAGAAAATACACACAGAAAAAAAACAAGATAAAAATAGGCATTCAGTTTTACTCGGGCATTATTTTATTTGAAAATCACATGTGAAATGATTTTACATTAGTTTATGTGAATCCAGAAAACACACACAGTAACAAAATAAAACTATGAATTCAGTTTTACTGGGGCATTATTTTATTTGAAAATCATATGTGAAATGATTTTACATTAGTTTATGTGAATCCAGAAAACACACACACAGAAACAAAATGAAAATATGAATTCAGTTTTACTGGGGGATTATTTTATGTGAAAATCACATGTGAAATGATTTCACATTAGTTTATGTGAATCCAGAAACACAAATAAAAACAAAAAAAATTTGCATTCAGTTTTACTGGGAACAGAAGCAGTAGGTAATCAAAGCTTGCTGGGATTATTGAAATTTACATATTTATCCTGGGGGGAAGAAAAGCCGATAAGATGGCCTGATCATATGACGGACAACGGCCACTCGTCCAGTTACCAGTCCAGGTCGGGTATGGGATTAGTTAGCCAGTTATCTGTTTTCGAAAGCCCGGACTTGAAGGGACTTATTGTGCTGGCTTAACCTTATGTGCCACTGCTCCATAGGAACGTTAGTAATTCACAAAAACCACGGAAAGGTATGTAGGTCTGGTCATATCAAAACTACAAATAGCATTACGAAAACAGCTCTTTAGAGAGGAAAAGTTTAGTGAAACCGAAAAGATCACATTTCTTCCAAAATACAGAAGCTTCTTGCATATTAGTGGGTATTACCTGCACAAGACCTTGTTCAAAGACTTTAACAAACGCTAAACACATAGAAAAGAAATGAGATTCAACGTGCCATATATAATAAAGGGCGCTCCAGAAGTGTGTGTACCAATATGAAGGTGACTAATTTTGTTCGCCTATTTTACATCAAGTTGTGTAACAGAACTGAAACCTATGGGCAGGGCGTATATTCACTTGGCTAACACAGACAGTCCCCGAACTCGTAATAGAACAAAAATAGGGAAAATCGGAATTAACTTATTCCCTAAACCAACCTGGTACACACACTACGGCAGTACCTAATAAAGTGCATCATGTGAATTCACTAATGATACAAATGTAGAAAAATAGTATATTGGCCAAAATAGGCTTTAAAAAAAACAAACTTCGAACGAAGACCAATTTTGATGATGTAAAATTGAAAGCCACCACGACCTATGGCATATTGTTACAAGTATACACTCTTTAACAACTTAATTAAAAAAACAATAAAAATAGCAAATGTACAATAATCAAAAAAAGGGTGAATTATTCTATGTGTAAATAGGGACATAAATTAATTGATTACTAAGACAAAAAAATAACGGAAATATGCATTTTATATTACATAGTTCATAGTTGCCACTCATTTACCTGTGACACTATGAGGTCTAAAGAATAAAGCTTCAACAAAATTAAAAATGAAGAAGTTTCCTTTTTTTTACAATTCAGCACTAAAATTATGACCCTAAACTGTTAGCTAAACATCAAAGTTAGAACATCAAAAACTTCTGAAGGCTGGAGTTACATAACTTCGCATTTAAAATACACCTATATTTTGTCCTTTTCTTTGAGCAAAATTATTGAGGCTGCTGAATTATGAAAAGCTATATAACTATATAGATTTATGATGGTGCGAGACAGTAAATGCAATTAAAATGATACTTGAAACATCTCATATGATCAGTAGAACAGCTATGGCGTAATGCAGGGGTGGGCAACATACGGCCTGTGACGAGATTTTGACCGGCCTGCTGACTGTATCCAACCACACTCTGTAATGCGGCCCGACGCTTCATTCCTGAAAGTTGCCGATCACTCTATTCTAACCGCACTGTCAGTGCGAGTTGGTGAAATAAACAGTTGCGTTAGCACACTTGTTAAACAAACAATATAAGGTCAAAGCAGAGAGCGTTGTAAACATTCCCCACTACTGGACCATATTGTACATATTTGATTTACCCTATTATAATTTATATATATCAAAAGGGGTGTATGCCGCACATCTGTGTTTTAGGCCAATATGGTCTTGTGCATACATCCCGACTTCAGTATTTATAATTACTTACTCTTTTATATTGCTTTTACGAGACGAATAAACATACATACATACTGTTAGTAGTTATATTTAAATTCTAGATATAAATAGGGATTTTAGAAATTAGATTTTATATTGAGTTTTATTAATCATGGAATGTCCCAGGAAACATAAAGATGACAGAGAGTGTCGAGCATTTGACAAAGATTGGTATTTTTAGTAATAATCCGGCCCGCCGAGGACTTCATTTTCCCACATCTGGCCCGCCGACTAGAGAAGTTGCCCACTCCTGGCGTAATGGATTCCACATAACTTAAGTAGATGCACGCGATATCTCCCAAAAGCAGATTGAATCTGCTCCAGATTTTGCATGTGCATTCATCTTATCTCGGACCAGAAGCCTATTGATTTTGGGCGAATTATGTCGTATAATTAGCGAGTTATCAATCAATTATCGATGAAATGATCTAGATTTTTGTAAAGCGAGAGAATTTTGAGACCCGCCGAGTGTGTGTGTGCGATGCGCAGTGCGCAAGTTACAAGAGCGGATGAATCGAAACTGCAGTTTCTGTTTCGGGGGATCCCCTAACTATCGATCGATAAGTCTTCGGTTTCCAACCGATATTCTCGTTTTTCTATTCATGAGATTTGTTGGAATAACAGTTGTCATATAAGGTCGGGCCACTCAACTGTCGGATTGTGTTCCAAAGGCAAATATTTCGAGTATTCATTTAGACTGCAGATTGTGCCAAGTTCAAGCTTTTTTACATTTTATGTTTTTACTTGATGTCAAATTGATGGCTGTACTAAAATGTTACCAAGAGTGAAAAAAGCACTCAATATTATTATTCACGCATAAATACAGTCTAAGATGCAATTCGCTATAACACTGAATTAAAACTATGGCAAGTCAAGAATTATTTTATTTTTTTTTCCACTTCTACATGTGCTTTGGGTTAGTAATTTGTATACTAAATTATACAGTTGATTGTTTTTAAAGTGACTAAAGAAGAAAATTGGATAAAAAGAAAAATCATGTGCCACTATTTTGTGTAAAACTTCACACATAAGAAACGAGAGCATCTCATATTGAGTATAAATCTGGTAAGAGTTGTGTATGTGGAATTCATAACTATGTGAAACTACATATATTAATTGTAAAGCCAGGAAACATTTGTTTAGGTTGAAATTCACATGTGAAACAATTATCTGGTAACACTTGTTGGCATATTACGCAAACTTATTCATGTGACAATCAATTTCACATTAGTCTATGTGAAACCTCATAAATGTGCAATTCCTCAACACTGGTTAATCGTTACATGTGAAAATTAATAGCTAACAGGTTAATCATATGATCTGGCAATACTTGTTTACATATCACCCCACATTAGTCTATGTGACAGTCAATTTCAAATTGATTTATGTGTAACTTTACACTCTTAATAAAAATTCAGGAACACTCTATGTGAAAGGAAAATTTATGTGAAATTTACAATTTAGTCTTATGTGATTTATGTGAATCCCAAATCAAACACATATTTCATGTGTACACTAAACTTAGGAATACAGCTCCTTGCAAGTTTCACATTATCTCACTATAGATTATGTGACAATTATTTCACATAAGTTTATGTGAATCCAGAAAAACACACATATATTTTATGTGTCCATTATACTTGAGAATCAGATACCTCTCCTTGCAAATTTAGGATGAACTTGTGCACATATTACCTCACGTTAGTTTGTGTGACAATTAATTTCACATTGGTTTATGTATAGCTTCAAATAATAATACGAAATAAGGGAACACTAGTTTATGTGAAAAACATATATGAAAGTTGATACATTTTTAAGCATAAAATCGTCAATTTCATATTATTCTACTATAGATTATGTGACAATAAGTTCACATTGTTTTATGTGAAAAGCATATGTTAAAATTTCACACATTAGTTTATGTGAATCCAGAAAAACACACACATAATTTTACGTGTTCATCAAACTTGTGAAGAATCAGATACGGCTCCTTGCAAGTTCCTTTTAGTAATGCTTCCTGCACTTGCAACACTGGCAGGCCTTAGGTTGGCAGCACTTGTGTATTTCACACTACCTTGTAGATTGGGAAAATTTGTCTTCGGGGAGCTTATACTTGTGAATACACTCTCTGCTTCTCCAACGCTGCTAGCTGTAAGACTTGTAGTGTCATCATCGTCACCCATGAGCTAAAAATAATTAAAAATTTTGAATTGTGTCAGCAACGTTTCCTAATCAAAGAAGAATTCGGTATAGCCTTGCCAAAATTGCTTAGTTATTTATCATTATTGCAATAAATATTTATGAATATTCTATTTAATCCAAGAGTCTTGCTGCACATAAACACAAATATATTTCTGTAACTTTTCGTCTGACCGAGGTCAGACTTCTTCAGACAAGCATTTTACAACTATAACAAGAAACGCAACTGCATGCACTGAGTAATGGTATCAAATAGGGTCTGCATGCAAGGAAAGGTCTTAGTTTCACATAACCCCAGCTGTTAGTCACATATTTCCGAAAATGCTATAAACTACTCTGTGAGTGCAGCACATAATATTAAAGAATAAACAAATGACAGGAATTAATTTTTATGGTTAGTGGTATAAACAGATTTAAATTAGCAAAAAAAAAGGGACAACTGGTGTAAAATGACCATCCCCAATGAGACAAGAGTCGATACAATAACTTGATCATATGAAGAACCAAAAACAAAGTTAGTAACCGACCAGTAGTAACGTAAACAACCTTGTTGATCCCCCTACATATAGTTATTCTGGCGGGATTGGAGTTTACAGGAAAAATAACCAGAAAAACACAAAAACCAAGCATACTTAGGATAGGATTTACATAGTTATCCCAGGGGAGAGGAAAGCCGATAAGACGGCTTATCCATATGGCGAACCACGGCCTCTCGTCCGGTTACCATTCCAAGTCGGGTATGGGATTAGTTTTTTACTGTATTGTTTGTTTCCGGAAGCATGGACTTGGTGGTGGAGGAGTCCAGCAATCCTCTCGCACATAACCATCCCTGCATGGGATTCGAACCTGCGAACCCACGCAGAGTAATTAGACGTGCGGTGGCGAGTGTATTCCTAACGCTTAGCCCGTTGAGCCACACCGCCGCGCCTTGGTCATGCAGTGTCTGTCCTTGCCCGCCCCTGACTTAGATCGTATGAACACTTAATACCGCTCATGCAGTGTATGTGACAACTCACCAGCCACAGACTTTAAGTTAGTTAACAGTCCAAGTCATGGAATGGTCGAGTTATAATGGTAGTCGTAACAGGCCACTGTGAATCAATCTATGACAGCGAGGGGTTTAGCAATTATCCTGTACGTTACCATCTCCAACAGGAACCCACACAGGGTAATTATCAGTATGATAGGAATTCTGCATGGGTTCGAATACTGTAGGAAAAACTACATGCGATAGAATTTTTCACCCCTCCTTGGGTACAGAGTAGTTTATTATGAGGTAACAACGCTATATATATAAAAGTGCCAATATGGGGTGTACTAGGGTATTGTGTACTGAACTGCACGTCCTTTCTCCTCGTTTTCTTTATACTTCAAATCTGTATGTGTCAGTTACCACAATGATGCTTGAACGAGATAATACTATGAAGATAAATAACATAATCTCTTTTTACGCTCTATATATACTCATGGATATAAGTTCAGATCTGTTTTGCGTGAAGCATAAATACACCTTATAAAAAATGCAAAAACGGAACATACCTGTTCATGCAGTATCTGTGATAATTCTGCAGCCATGCCATGGAAACATTCTCTCAAGTTCTCGTGATAGTCGTGCTGGTCAGAAGAGATCAATTGCTCATTTATATCTAACGCTTGTCCGCATAATCCAACAAATTTCCTGAAAAATGTAATATAGTTATAAGGCGATAAACGCACGAGACTTGAAGTAATTAACTCAGTGGTTCTCAACCTTTTCTTTTTTGTGTTCCACAAAAATTCTGTGGCTCAACTTTTTCACGCGAGGGAAAAGTTGCAAGAAAAGCAAAAAACTATGTCTGCAAAAATAGACACTTGAAGCAAACTAACTTCTTTCTAACAAGAAAAACACTTTCAATTATGTTGATGTTTAATCCATAACAAAGCAATGTTAACGACAAGCGAACAGAAAACAGAATGACAAGTTATTGTAAGAAAAGCACGTAAGTAATCATGCGTGACAAAAACATAAACAAAACAATTGTGACTCATAACGGCTATTAGTTAAGTGGTTCGCCACACACTCTCACTTTATAAATTAGAATGAAAACTACCCCTCAGCATCATCAACGTTAATTGCCGTTACAATCAAAATTTAGAAGGCTCCCGAAGTATGCGAACCAAGATGACGGACATCGGAATGTAATATGTGTACTAGGTTAGGGTTAGGCCATAATTTTAGATATAAATACTACGGGAGGCTCTTGGCTAGTCTTCGAACTGATAATAGGACTAAAATAAGGAAAATTGGAAAAAAATTATCGCCTAACCCTAACCTGTTACCCATGTTATGTTCCGATGTCCGCCATCTTGGTTCACAAACTTCGGGAGCACCAAAATTTAACTATAGTGACAGAAGTGAAACTGGATTTGTTAGCACTCTAGCAATTTTTAATATGTTTGTGTTGAAAGTGTTGGTGTGGCCCAGCAGATGTTCTCCCATGAGAACTGGTGAAACCCAGGAAACAATCAAGAAAGAAGATTGTGGATAATTGTAATCATTGGAAAAAGATTCAGACTTGGAAGCAGATATATGCACACAACAACCCACATTGATCGATTATGTTCAACCAGCAACTGGTGAAACCCAGGAAACAATCAAGAAAGAAGATTGTGGATAATTGTAATCATTGGAAAAAGATTCAGACTTGGAAGCAGGTATATACACACAACAACCCACATTGATCGATTATGTTCAACTAGCAACTGGTGAAACCCAGGAAACAATCAAGAAAGAAGATTGTGGATAATTGTAATCATTGGAAAAAGATTCAGACTTGGAAGCAGATATATACACACAACAACCTAGCTTAATCTATTATGTTCAACTACCTCAATTCTACTTCGAAATCGTCCAGCTAACTGAGAACAGCATTAAGGTCTCGTGTAGATTCGTACCTAACGTACTTCTAGTGGGCGTAGCATGACAATTTTTTGATATGTCAATCCTAACCCCCATCTGACTACATCATCCAAAAATTACGTCACTATGACATCACAATCACGTCATAGAGCTTGCCAAATATACGTACAATCGCCCGAAATGGCATTGGCGCCGACGATAAAGAACTGACTGACATTATCGATCCCTCTCCTATTGGAATCGTTGCGACGAGAAAAATAACTGTTCGATTTCGGGTGCTCGTTTGTGCGCCTTGGATGGCAGTTCGTATAGTTCAAAGGGCTCCATTACGTCACTGTGACGTCGTGTTGACGTAATTTTTGGATGGTGTAGTCAGGTGGGGGTTAGGATTGATACTTGAAAAAATTGGTACGAAACTACATGAGACCCCAGCATTGCATCAAAATAATATAGAGCTAATATAGGAAAATCCCCAATAGAAAAAACAGGGCAACTCATCGCCCTGTAGCGCCATCTCGAGGCTAAGCTGTTCTCGTATGAAAGTGTTCACTTGTGTTGTGGTAACTTTGATTCATAAGTTTTCATTAATACAGCTATTGCAAGGTTAATTTTGCTTTCATTTTATTGTGCCTGTTTGCCTGGAAAGCTAATAAAAACAATTTGATTGATTTGATTTGTAATAGAGAAAGCTCCTTTCAAACTTACGTACTTGCAAAAACAGGCACACCAATCGCATTAAAGTAAACAGCTGAAAAAGTTTGGTGATCACCACATATGATCAAATGTATCATCTGCACAAAATTGACTGTCACGACTATGAACTTTGCAACACTTATTTGGAAAACGAAACTTGCAATAATTTATTGTTTACTTACTATGAATATTTTGAATTAATCATAGCACAGAACTGAATATATCCCCAATAAATATTATCAATTCGTTAACAATATCAGAAATATATATTTTGTCCTTGAATATGTCCTAATAACAGGGTAACAGAGAGAAGCATTTGAACATCTAAATAAATATATTATAGTCCTGGTGCACAAAACTATGACAGTTATAAGCACCATTGAATTATAATAATAAGAACACAAATATCAACTGCATCAAATTTCACAATAAACAGTCACAAACCTGAATATCTTCCTCAATCTTTCTACTGTGTTAGCAGGGTGGCATGATACTTTAGCATCTTCAAGGAAAGCTTTGGCATATGCAAGTGGTCCAGCGTTCACCTGTTTAGAATTAAAAAGACAAGAATTTAAAAAATAACATAGCAAATTCAGAGGTAGTTACACAGATCAGGGGGGGTACTCAAAGTTTTGGTACCATGGAGCCTGTGAAGAAGTTGACTATTATTTACAGAGCCTCACCATAAAATTATGAAATTAAAATTACTTTATTTAATGACTCGGTTGTATTTGCTGCTTTGTATTAAAACATATTCAAATTGTCGCTACAAGGCGGTAATTGGAATATGGCATTATCTATTGGAACTTATAGATACTGTCATATTTGTATTAGCTCCTCATTGCCACATTTCGTCACTATCGTTGTCAAATTTTGTTAATGCTGTAATTGCTTCTTTGGGCAGTTACAAAATCAACCAATTCATTATTTTAGTAAGTAAACGAATAGCTCGTGGAGCACCTAGGTTTCTTTCATGGTGCCATGGGGCTTAGTATGGAGCCCTTTACGAAAATAGATCCGTTTATGCATTGATAAGAATAGCATATACCAACTTTGCGATATACTTCCAAGTTTTCGGATAAAATTGAATAGATGTGGACTAGATTTCTATATGTATGAAGTATCCTGTTCAGAGCCATAGATTGGGTTTTAGAGAGACCAGTTACTTATCATTCTTTTATGCCAGTGGTCAACCTTTTATTGCCTGTTGGTCCCCGTCTGGAGGCTTTTAGTACTCATGGTTCCCTGTTTATTATTCCAGTGGTATTAAGAGTGTAATTTTGAGTGGTAAATTCCAAAATGCTAATGTGCTCAAACAATTCATGCTCAAAAAAGTGAAAACACTCTGTGAAATAACCTTATCAAGCAATGAAACTAAGAAGAACAGGGAGTTTGTATATGAAGGGAAAGCAAAATCAGTTCTGCGTGTAACATTGTGGCCCTCTTCAAACTACTCTGTACCGCCCATAGAGGGCCACTGGCCCCTTTTAGGGAACTGCTGTTTCTATGCTTTAGTGCTGGTATACCAGAATGTGTATACGTAAGGATGCTGTAGCAAGAGTGAAGATAACTATTCTATGTGTCTTGCTACACACTCTTAAACCAGTCGGGTTAATTCATGGATTGTTTATTTATCACAATTTTTTTATTGATAGGAAGGTACCCCCGTAGTATGTGTACCAGGATAGAGTTAGGCTATAATTTTATTCTATTACGAGTTCGGGGACTGTCTGTGTTAGCCAAGCAAATATCCTCCCTGCCCATAGGTTTTAGTCCCTTTAAACAAATTGATGAAAAGTAGGCAAACAAAATTAGTTATCTTCATATTGGTACATACTCATCTGGAGCGCCGATAGGAAGATCATATTCCAGCTCTCTCAATATTAGGACATTATGCATTGGTGGGAGAATATCAAAAATTATTATTCAATATTTTATGCTTTAATGGCTATTACTTTCCACATATATCAATCTTAGTTCTATTAATGTTGTTGGCGAAGTCAAAAATAAAAGCAAAAGAACACTTTGCCCAAAATGAGTCCTACATCCCTCTGAAGGTGTTGTAGATTTGATGACGAAGTAATCCGTCCCTCAAAACTACTGTCAGCTCTATATCACTCAAGAACTTCAATGTCGAAACTTTTGCATTTTTCAAGAGACAAATAAAACAACTCGGACTCCCCATTTCCACTTTCAAATGAAAGCTTGCAACCTTACATTAAAAAATTCAAAAAAAAAAAATTTACCTGGACACTGACAGATCCTTGTAGTCTAAGTTGTAACTTCTTCAAATCAATGTTTGGAGCAAGAACCAATTCTTCTAGTTCTGCGCATTTGTTAACCATTTCATCAAGAGCTACTTCGATGGGCTTGAGTTCGAAACTACGTTGCGATGTGACCATGATTCGCTTCTTGATGTAAGGAAAACTATGGGCAGCTGTAAAAGTGAGTTAATAGATGTTAGAGATAACTTAAAATACCAAGTATGTGCTGGAGTTTTTTTCCAGAAGTTAGACAAAGTTAGTCAAAATTGTTTTTAATCTATAGTTGGGAATTGGAGTAAAAAGTTTTGTAAACTGAAAGTCAAAGTCAGAATAGTTTTTTGAAAGGTTAGAATCGGGGTCAGGCGCTAATTTTCCCCAACTTTGTAAACTTGTGAACCTCTGCGCTACCAGAGAATTTATTGGGCTAAAACTTGATGGAATGGCCACTGAGAGGAAAGAGAATTACATGGCTTAATCATGTGGCAACCATGTGTCTGATATTGGAATAGTTGATTAGTTAGTTGTTTCAGATGTATGAATTTGATGGTAGAAGAAGCCGTAACTAATGCTTAGCACAGGGGAGGACAATTACTTTTCTGAGTAGGCAAGTTACAGACAATAGACTTGGTTACTGGCTCAATTTGAAACCGTGAATAAAAACAGTTATTTACCAAAAACGAGCATAACAGCTAATGTGTAACAAACATCTAAACCAGGGCGGTCCAAACCCAGGCCAGCGGGCCACATGTAGCTCGCTGCTCCATTATATGTGGCTCGCGTCACATTCGGAGAGTAATCAAAAATCGCATTTTGTGTAGTTTCGTCACAAAATTATTCAGAAAAATCTTTTGACCTACTGTCATTACTAATGTCACTGAATTAAATAGTGTTAAGGCTAGCTGAGGCAACTAGCGAAATTGAAATTTGAATGATGTGCTTGGCAGTCTGTAATCAGCTTTCCTCTCCCCGCTCGAGTTAAAAATTAAAATTCTAATTATCTTACTTGATAGAATAGTCTTCCTTTTCCATTGTTCTTCAATTCCGCCTCTCGCTTTACCACCGGGGGTGAAAGGAGTCTCAAAAACAAAGTTTCGAAGATTATGAGCCCTCTCGAAATAATTCTTCCGATGCTCAATTTCTTGTTCGTCAAAATATGGTTGAACATAAGTCACTTGGATGTATGCAAACTTGGGGTCCAGATCTTTGCGGTTTACCTGTAAAAAAATGAGGTTTTAAATGTTTTTTGCACTTTTGCTCATAGCAAGGCTCCTAGTAAGTAACTATGATAAATATTGAGCATTGTGTTGGCGACATCAAATGCAAGAAATGCAAGAATATTGTAGCAGAAAAAGGGAAGTTGCTATGTATACAGAATAGATCAAACCTTAATCAGAACAGCGGACAAGCGTGGCAAAGTGGGTCAAATGTGCTAAAAAGTACAGGGAGGGATGCAACATTTTTGAGACACTGCAATTATTAATAGGTTTATGGCCAACCTGAAAATGCTTTTGTGGCTCAGCTGGTCAAGGCATCCATTGCTGCTAAAATCAAAGTTGATTGATTTATCAATTTTAATAGGTTTAGGATCGACTTGAAATCGTTTCTGTGGCCCACTGGTTGAGGACCCTTGACCCTTGACCATCGCCCCACGATTTGTATGTTTGATTTTTACTGCTTTGAAAAATACCGTATTTGCTCGTTTTGTAGCCCGGGCCCATATTTTTTTCGACCAACTCAAAACCGGCCCTTATTCAAGCATGGGCGCTTGTTATTTTCGATCGTTACAATAATTAATATATTGTTATTTCCAGTTCCCAAGTATGATTTAAACGAAAATAACGAAAATTTTGACTTTTTCTACGCACCGCAGGTACAAATCCGCAAAAGAAGAAAAGTTTTGCGACGTCCTATCAATATTGAAACGCACTCGGGCGACACGACGCCCAGTTTGAGAATCATGGTGTTACGTAATCAATGCTATCTGTTATGTACTTGAACGCCTAAGGCGCGAGTGTTATCTACCAGCGCTTAAAATTCAACAGCGCTGTGATAAAATCGCTTCTTATTTCCTATTGTTCTCTACCAATGAAAAATCAGCTTTTACATCGGGCGGGTATTCAAGCACTGGCCCTTATTTATTTTTATGTTCTGTTCACACGGGCGGCTATTCAAACAGGCCCTTAATCAAAATCGGGCAGTAAAACGAGCATATACGATATATAGCCTTGACACCTAGTCGCCCTATTACACACACCTTGTTAGACTCCTGTATCAGCTTTATATTCTCATGTCCAAACTTTGTACCGTACATGTGCTGGAGACGCATCGAGATTTCTGAGAGTTGGGTCAACTTTGGTTCCTGTAAAATCAAATTAAGAATTTTTTTTAGATTTTCGTTCACCTGAAAAGATTTGTGTGGGGAATGTGTTCGCAACAGTTTCTGATGTCTGTTCACATGGTATGAAGAATGTAAATTGGTAGCGATAACTAGGATATGAGAGCTTCAAGTGTAAAAGACTTGAAATTGGAACTCCAATACTCTTGGAACCTTTTTGAAACCCCAAAGTGGGGTGTTGGATAGAACTATTCAAACCCAGAGTCATAGCTCATCAGAGTCCCTGTTTGAGCCTGCTGACAATTAATTGACGAGTCTGACTAATTTAGTTTGAACGAGTCTTTGATAAATGAGTGTTTGAGTTGACCCTTGCTTTTCAATAAAAATACTTTCAAAATTTTTCCATTCATTATTTATGAACAAATGAAGGTGAAAGAATAAAAAAGTCAATTTACTTAAAACTGACATAAGTCATTGTGAATGGTGCCTTGTGTGGGCCTTTTATCGTGGCCCCAAAAAACCCTACATGGGTCCCCTAGAGTGGCCCATTTTGAGAAAACCTGGAGTATACCTTATAAATATATTCCCTTCCATCCTCTTCATCAAAGTATTGTTGGCCGTAGAAAGCCACACGAAAATACGTTCCTAACATTCGCTTTCCGCTTGCGTTCACCTGCACGATCTTCGCGTAGGAATCTTTCAATGTACCGTAGATTTCAACAAGGCCCTGAAATTGAAAAATTGCGTAAAATATAGGGAAGAAAGAAAGAGAGCTTGCAATGGTGGAGTCTTTTTTTTTTCTTACATCTCTTTTTATTACTACTCACAAACGCCATGCGTCCTCATTTCACAAAACGTAACTGTGCCCGTACGTAAGCAATATTAATATGACATGCTTCATATAAGGGCGTAGCTGCTCGATAACCAATCTTGGTTCGCACGGCTTCCCTTCCCCAATAAAAAGTGTGTTAATTACTTATTGATTTTAATCGGTAAGTATGTTGATAGGTATTTGTCTGTCTGTTAGATGCACGCGATATCTCACGAAAGCGAGATTGAATCTGCTCCAGATTTTGCATGTGCATTCATCATATGTCGTACCAGAAGCCTATTGATTTTGGATGAATTATGTCGTATAATTAGCGAGTTATTAATTATGATGGGACACAAGGTGTCACTATGGAGTAAGAGCGCTGTTTTGGGGATCCCCTAACTTTCGATCGATAAGTCTTCGGTCTCTGACCGATATTCTCGTTTTATTTTTTGTCAATTTTGTATGTTATTTTTTACTGGATGGAAAAAATAAACTTGACTATGACTATAAATGGGTTTTAATCTCTTGTATGCCGAATGCAATGGTAGTCATTAGCTGCGGTGCACATACCTATTTGTTGCAGCTGTTTAAAGTAATAAAGAGTTCACTGATTATCACAAAATTCCATGAACAGGTTGGGGAACATTAAAAAAAATTGAAATACCTAATATCGCTGATTATGCTCAGCTGTCTGGAAAAACACTAGTTGCCAGAATACAATTAACACTCACCATATAATCTCTGTTCTTTTCATAGAACGGAATAATCATTCTGAACACACTTGCCATCAGTTCATATCTTTCTGCCGTTTGTAATACTGATACGCATCGTCGAAGAAGCTCAGTCAAGACGTCCTGAGATAAATTACGGTGATATTTTTGTAAATTTTTTACACATTCGCCCAAAAAAATCAAAAAACTTTTGTTTGAGCCAAGTTACGGGCAACCACTGAAGGGGTCCAGGTAGTTATATTTTATAGATAGTTTGTTTCAGTAACTTTGCATTCTAGTACTTTCCCGTAACTTTGCTAAGATGTGAGCCCCTTTACTTCTGAGTGAATGTGCAAATGACGAGAATAGTGCTATATGTATTCAAGCAAACGAGCAATTTATTTAAAGCACTTACTCAAAAACGAAAGAGACTCATCTCTAAGCAAATCTATGGGATACCGCAAAAAAATAAATGCAGGTCTCAGTATTCGTGGGTTACTCAAAACTTCTTTGTAGTCCTGATTATGTATTTCGACAAACGAGTGAAACCAAAATTTCCTAACGCTTTACCTCATTAGGAGGTATATTCATTTGGCTAACACAGACAGTCAGATGGTCACGGAAATCATAATAAAACTAAAATGAAGCAAATCCCCAAAAAAATTATGCCCAAACCCTAACCTGGTACACATACTACGAGAGTACCCCCCCCCCCCAATATCTATTTGGAGGAACAGGTTCATGAGTGGGACCTCCCAAAGTATGCGCACCAAGATGGCGCACAACCTGAACTCAGGTTGTGTAGCAGGTTAGGGTTCAGGTTGTGTGACGTCTTGGTGCGCATACTTCAGGAGTAGCCACAGATCACCACAATGCCTGTAAAATATGCGAGTTTTACCTCATTATACTGCACATCTTGCATTCCAGTATCTTCCTTTATGGCAGATTCTTCTTTTTCTACATTAGGTGAAATTGTTCGGAATGCAGAACAACCCTTACTAATGAGACCTGGAGGAATGTAAGATAAGTTAAAGCTTGGGTCTGTAGTAGTGAGATTTCATTTAGGCTGGAGCCAAGCCCTTACCATGATATATAAGTTTGCAGGTTCGAATCCTGTTGGGGGAATTATGCAAGAGAGAATTGCTGAGCTGATCGGCGTTATAAGATATCTGCTTTGACTGGATCCAAGTATACCATGATAGATGAACGACTTGGCGCATCTTGCTAATCGTTAGAATACACTTGCCAATGCATATCTGATTACCCATTTGGGTTCACAGGTTCGAATTATGTACGAGAGGATTGCTGGGCTCTTCGCCATCATAGGGTGGTTCACATAACCAGTGGTCGAGATTTGATAGCATTGGGTTTCAATCTACACTAGAATCGCAGGCTAGAGATTCCAGATCCTCCTACCCCACCAAGACTGTAATAAAGAATCCGATTCTTCCAAAAGTAGTAGAGACTGTTTGTATGGAGCAGTGGTTCTCAAATGGGGGGGTGTGTCCCACACGAGGGGACATTTTTTGCGGGGTAATTTAATTAAAAATGAAAATATTTGTTGATTTGATCTTGCCCGACTTATTTTCGACATTACATATTTTCTATTTTGGATATTCAAGTTCTATCCACGTATTTTCAACGTGCATTTTGAATGAAACATACTTTCGCCTCACTATCTGTTATTTGTAGAGCTTATTATTAGTTGGTTGTTCTCAAGATGGGTCGCGAGACTTGACAAATTCTAAAAAAGGATCGCTGCTTAAGAAAAGTTTGAGGACCACTGGCTTAGAGCAGGACTACTCAACTATTTTCACCAAAGGCCCGTTTACGAAACTTCAAAATTACTGGGGTTCGGAAATTTATTTGATTAAATAAAGGAAACTTCAAATGCAATAATAAATTAAATACAAGAGCAATGAATGGCTCACAAATATGGACAAAAATATCGCACATTGGTACCAGTACGACAAACTGTATAGCTGTTTATTTAAATTGTATCAAAATCATTCAAAACTATAAAACGATGATTATGATGCCAAAATAAATATCAGACGCGGTCCAAATTTTATGGTCGAAAGGTACGGATTCGGACCACGGTCCGCCAGTTGAGTAGCCCTGCTATTGAGCCTTGATTGGAGTGTCATTGTGAAAACCGCTAAAACATCATCCCCTTTCAGTATTCTGGTGGTAGGGATAAATACTATTTTTACATTTTTTTGGCGATTCAAAAACTACCTTATTTCCAACTAGCCTGCTTTTCTAGAGACTTATTTGAAGTAACAATGTATAACTACACAATATAAAGAACAAGAAAAAAAATTTGGAAATACAAACCTATGTGAGCACCTAATCCTACAGTTTAATGTACCGGTATGTGAAGAATTACGCTACAAAGTGAAATAAGAGGAGTGCCAGCATATTGAATTATGTTAATCACATTACAAAAGGCAAGACGAGGAGTGCCAGCATATTAAATTGTGAAGAATCACATTACAAAGTACAATAAGAGGAGTGCCAGCATATAAAATTGTGCTAGTTACATTACAAAGAGCAATAACAAGAGTGCAGCATATTAAATTGTGCTGATAACATTACAAAGTGCAATAAGAGGTGTGCAGCATATTGCAAAGTGCAATAAGAGGAGTGCCAGCATATTAAATTGTGCTAAAGCATGCTCTAACACCAAAGTGCTACAAAGTTAAATATTGTTAGTGGAACGACACCCATATTAAGACTAATTTTTTTATTTTTATTTTCGCTTTGCACTGAATTCTCTTTAAAATATCCCCAAAGCCAGGGTTTTCTCAAACAGGGCATTCGAATTCCGTGGGGCAGAATTGAAAGATCATGATAAATTTAGTCACTTGGTTGTCGGTGGAGGGCACACTTATCAATATTGAAGTGAAATTTGAATTTTTTTTAGGTTATAGTTATTGTTTATGATAATTCTGGCAGTGGGAAACTTTCCTTTATAGAAAAGCACCAAAAAATTCCAGCCAGAATCTCAGACAGAATCGACTTACTTTTACAATCCACAATAAACATCGTATTAAATGAGTGATCCCCACTTTCTTGCGAGGTTTCGTTTTCTGGAGTTGGATTTGGTGTCGAACCACCAGGAAAGAAGCGAGAAATAAATCCTGATTGGTTGTTTTGTGTTGCCGGTCCGTTAGTTGGTAAGTTACGCATGGCTGCTCCCGGTGGTTAGTGAAGCGTGCAAAGGTGAAAGGTGAGTGAAAATACAAATTAGTAAGACACCAAAACTAGTGAATAATTAATTACACAGTAATTAATTAATTAATAGGCAAATATGTGAACTGGGCTAATTATACACCTGGTAATAAGATGGAATTATTGGGAGGGATTATATTTTTTTACAAGATCATAAAGATGAGGAATTCGAGTCACAAGTTTGAATTAGAGCTGCTATGTTAAAAGTTGCGAACTGTACACCAGAGTCTCAAGACAAGTCTCTCAGTTAGTTAGCAGAGTTTGAGACGAGACATTCAACTCGAGTAACTTAAATTCATTGAAAAAGTCACTCGACTCGAGTAAAGTCAATGACTCCCCAACCATGGTGGCTGAAAATGATGAATTTACAACTAAAACAAGTCGTTCTGATTGTCAGAAAAACAATTTTTGAGCAACTATAATTTTTACGTTGATTCAACCAAATTTTTTTCATATCTCAAAATACAGTATATGTGCAGCGGGCTCAGCGGTGTGATGCATCGTGCTAAGCATTGAGAATACGCTCAACACCACACCTCTGGTTATCCTGTGTGGGTTTGCAGGTTCGAATCCCATGCAGGGATAGTTATGTACGAAAGAATTGCTGGACTCCTTGTCGTCGTAGGATGGTTCGCGTAACCACATGTCGACAACAGCTTCTCCAACCATCAACTACTTGCTATTCCTAAATTCAGATCTGTGCAATTAAGACAGGGCTAACCATGCAACATGCATTAATTATACAGTGAACAGCAATGCCACAGTGGATATTATTGTCAGGCAGCTTACAGTGGGTATATTCAGCAGTAAGCCTACTTAAAGAGTTCAAAATCAAGCCTAAAAAATTTAGCTGCAAAACTACGAAATTCAGCAAAAGTTTGTTAAAATTTGGCAGCAGACGCTTTGCAACTTCAAAGCAACTGTGCCAACAGTCATTTGGCAGCAAGCCTACATCTAGAATTCCAGCTGCAAGCTTTTTCACTATTTTTAACAGTCTGTAGCAACAATTATTAAGAAGCAGGCATGCAGTGGGGATTGAATCAGCAGGCCTGTAGCGCAGCAGTACACGCCTATATGAGACATTTCAGCAGCCAGCGCTAATTTCAGCAGCAAGCTTACAAGCATTCATTCAGCAACGCTTGAGCCCAAATTATTGGACAACAAGCCTGAAAAGGTTAATTCAGCAAGGCTTTAAGCCTAAATTATCTGCCAGAAAGCCTACAATGCCCAATAGCAGCGGCAAGCCTGCAAAGGGTAATTCAGCAGCAAGCCTACAGCCTATAAATAATCAGCAGTCAAATTTATACACCATACCTTTGGATGAAGCTACTTTAGCTCTATCTGTCATATCTAAGTGGGAACGAAGTTCATTAGTTTACAAGTTCAAGGAATTTCACAAATTACAGTGTGTAAGTCGTGAATCAAGTCTAGGACAGGATAAGATTTACATATTCGTCCCCGGGGTAAGAGAAAAGACGATAAGACGACTTCCCCATATGGCGAACCACAGCATCTCGTCTGGTTACCATTCAATGTCTGGTATGGGATTAGTTATCCAGTTATTTTTTTTCGGAAGTAACTGTTACGTGAACCACCCTACGGAAGCAAAGAAGCCAAAACTGCTAAGTAAAGCCATTTACAGATATCTAGTCTGTTAGATCAGTGGTGTGGCGCATCGTGCTAAGCGTTAAGAATAAGCTCACCATCGCATCTCTGATTACCCTGCGTGGGGTTAGTCATGTGCGAGAGGATTGCTGGACTCCTTGCCGCCGTAGGATGGTTCACGTAACCGCTGGTCGGTGACGGCTTCCCTCACTATCAAGTCCATGCTTTCAAAAACAAATAACTGGCTAACTACTCCCATACCCGACATGGAATGGTAATAGTATAAGAGGCTGTGGATCGCTTTATCGACCTTCATATCCCCCGGGAGAAATATCTAAATTCCATCCTATCCTAGAATTTTCAAAGAATCAGCATATCCATTAACAAAAGTTAAGGGTGTTTAACTCTAACCAAAATTGCAATGACTAATTGAAAAGACCGATCCAAACCGAACAGTTCCCTATATCTGTGTTGCCTATATAGAGCCTTGTTCCACAGAAGACAAAAAAACGGACACCATTTTATGTTAGAGAGAATTCAAATCCAATTTGTGTATTTGAACTCGAGTTTGAAGAGTTATTACACCCATGCTAAGTTAAAAGTATCTTTAAAAGGTGCGTCCCAATTGTTCCAAGTAAGTGAATCCCACCCCATAAGGTTGTTATAACCCAGGGGTCTACAACAGGAGCCCGCGGGCCCCCAACTCGACCTGTCGAGTAATTTAGTGTCAACACTCAGATTTCCCCCATCAATCTTAAAATCATAATCCGGTAAAAATACATGTTTTTTTGCGTAATGGTTGTGTTAAATCTTTCAAAATGTTGCACATCCCTGAACTCACCCAGTAGTGAAGCGGAACCCCTGTTAAGAGAAGCTTGGGAACCGCTGTGCGAAGCGAACATAATACTGGCAAAGCAAAAAGATCTTTCAAAACATATTCATATTCCTAACTTAGTAATGATCTTACCTTTTCTTTTCAGGTATTCCGCAACCAATGCAGCAATATGAATGTAACACATGGCAGCCTGGAAAATAAAGTTAAAATTGACACAAACTGATTGGGGTTCACTGTAATTTCATTGAAGGGGAAATACATCGCTTGTAATCTGAGAATATGGATATTTTGCTCTATTCATTATGTTCAGGGGAGAGCATGCTGAAGTTCTGTTAAGGTTAAACAAAACTATGTATGTAAACTACCTATGCCAGCAATTCCCAAACTTTTTCAGGCGCCAAATTATCGGGGAAAAAATCACACGGCGCATTTACCCGAAAATGCTGAATTTAAATTAAACTCTATTTTGTGATTGTCAATGTGTACTTTGTGCTATTTATAGTTTGTTAACATGTAGGTCTATGGAATAAAGGCAATAGGTAAATTCCGCTTTCACACATCTACGTCTGATTCTCTTTTGAAATGCTAAACAACACACGCATGTTCGCTAAACTCAGTTCAGCGGCGCCGAGGCGCACCGTTTGGGATACGCTGATCAACGCCATGAACATTATTACCAGCATGACTCTTGCATCAATCAAAACAGTTATCTATAACCTTATGTGTCTCCACCAGTTATGCCCACATTCAATATTAAAATGCCAACAAACATAAACAAAAATAATAAATGAATTCCAGTCAAATAATTAAACAAATCAAAGTAAATTTACTTATTAATATAGTCATCTCGGATATTACCCAATCAAGGCTTTTTCTCTTCGCCCCATAGGGGGGGTCAGAGAGCTGAGTTTGGGAAGTCCCTTCTGAGGAAAAACGGTAAAAAAATCACCTCTGAGAAATTCCCATGTTTTTCATGCACCCTTGCCATTGATTCAAGCCAGGTTTTTCTAAGTTCAGGAGTAGCTGCGTATGACTTTGCCAAACTGTCTTGAAGGTCAACCAACATCTCTGGGTCGTCTTTGTGCTCCTTCATGGCTGCCGTTGCCATCAATACCGTACGGATTCGTTTTGTTAGATCTTTTACTTCAATGTGGAAGACAGAATGCTGAAAATAAATTGAGAACTAGTATTTCATCCGAATAAGGCACCAGACAAGTAGAAAAAATCATATTTCAATAAAGTTACTTTGTAAAGAGACAAGTAAAATCAGTTCTGCTTCTAGCATTGTGGCCTGCTGGCCTAAGTCCTAAACAATCATCTATTACCATGCTTATCTTGTCAAGTGCAATTTTAGGAGAGGCAATAATCAAGAAATATTAATAAACTAATAGAAAAGTGGAGATGGAGCTCTTCCTCTCCACTCATTAGCGATGGCACTACATTACCTAATTTACTATTTTCGTCTAGTCAACAATATGTTATGCATTTCAAACGCTTCCCCCTCAAAAGATCGCCATATAAATTTTGGTGCTCCAGAAGTGTGTTTACCAATACAAGGGTAACTAACTTTGTTCGCCCACTTTACATCAAGTTGTGTAAAGAGCTAAAACCTATGGGCAGGGGGTATATTTACTTGGCTAACACAGATAGTCCCCGAACTCGTAATAGAACTAAAATAAGGAAAATCGTAATAAAATTATGCCCTAAATCTGGTACACATAATACGGGAATACCCTATTTTTGTTTGTTGTCGACAATTTGTTATTTTCTTCTTATTATATTCTTATTTTCAGCATTGATGAAAAATAAATTACTAATTACTCATGTGTTTCAAACGTCTTCCATTCTGAACAAATCCATATAAAATTTCGCTTATTAAAACCACGTTTCACAATGTTGAAAGGACATTTTATTTTACACAAAGATACAATAATTGATTAACAACCTTTCAATTAAGCCTTTTCCTCTTATGGTATCCTGTTACCAGTTTAATTAGGTAAATTGATATCAAGCAAAGCTTTTAAGTAAACACAATATAGATTGGTTAAATGATTTGTGGACTGGTAGCATTGTGTACACGATGTGAGGGGCTCCTAGAGCAGTGTTTCTCAAACTGAGTTCTGCGGGACCCTGGGGGTCAGGGATAACTGCACAGGGGCCGCAAGCCCGTAACAATATGAAGCGCAATTAGAATTGTATTGCCTTTTGCAATGACCTACATGTGTGTGGCAGCATTTTCAACTTTTACCAATATGACTAAAACCTTTTTCTAGAGCAAACACTATCAGTCTTTACTTTATAGTTTACCAGCAATGATGTAAGTAAGACACCCCTTCAAATTCGTTAAATTTATATTAGATTAGCGCAAGTAGATAGGTCTAAAGCAGCCTAAAACACCTTATAATTAATTTTACTTGAACTTATTGAAGCAAAAATAGAAATAATAATTCGAATTTGCTGTTAGTGTAACTTAGCAAAATAAGCTTTCCCTGACATCAATATTTGAGAAATGATGTACGTATGTAGAAACCCAATAAGGCAGTAGTGCATGTTTTTCTCAGATAAACAACATTACTCAGTAGAGAAGGGTGACTGCCTCTGACCCAAATCAGATTAAAAAAGTTCAGAGGTCATGGCTGTATAAATATACTTAAGATTTTGAAGGGAGTTTCTCAATAAATAGGAATTCAATGAATCTAATATATTGGGTTTCTAGACAAATGGGCAAATGTAAAAAAAATTTTTTGAAAATATTACTAAGTGCTGCTGTTACTAAATGCTTTCTAATAATGGTTTGGAGGTATGACTATTATTCACCAAAAGTATCTCCATAAAAAAATACAGAAGTTTAAAGTTTAAAAATTGAAAAATTTTTCATGAAATTCTGATACTGGACCAAGTTTCAATTATTGGGGTATGACTTTTGAAGTTTATCAATTATTATCCCATAAGTTTCTTCTTTGAACTAGGTACTAGAAAAACAATTAAATCACCTTGTAAGTTTAGCATTTCATCCAAAAGAATTTCTGGTTTAGTTTTTTTTACATTTATAAGCTGCCACTGATATGCAGCACAACTTTTGTATCCTTAATTATGATATTTGTGCTCAACCCATACCCAAACCAACACGAACAATATTACTCACACAAAAACATTATTTCTGTGTGTTTTAAAATGTTTTGGGTCATGGTTATGTAAACATGGGGTACTTTCTCATTAGAATTAGAAATATTTTTGAAAAAATTTGATAACACATTTTTTGGTATTATGGTATCTTTGCAAAATGATTTTATGGGTGTGCAGCAAATAGAAAAGAACTTGTGTGTGTGTGTGTGGGGGGGGGGGGGGGGGGGGATGAAAACATGAAAGGAAAGTTAAGAAGACACTTTGTTATAAAAAAGCTTTCACTGAAAAGTGTGGAGAGGTCACTACGAGTTGTTTTACGATTCCGTTCGGAACATAGCTTGAAGGTTTTATTTTGGTAATAGAATTATTATGAGAGAATAACCAGAAAAAAGAAATGATATTTGCTATTTAGAAAGTTTGTTACACAAAAGGGTACTTCTGTAGTGTGTGTACCAGGTTAGAGTTAGGGCATAACTTTATTGTGATTTTCTAATTTTACTTCTATTACGACTTCAAGGACTGTCTGTGTTAGTCAAGTGAATATAACCCCTGCCATTAGGTTTCAGTCCCTTTATACAATTGACTTGATGTATATTGGCACACACACTTCTGGAGCGCACACAAAAGCGTCTGTGTGAATTAGTTAGAGAACTTCCTATGAGATCTTTCCTGACCTCACTCTGAACAAAGCTATAAACAAGCAGACACATTCCAAAACTCGATGTTTTTAGGCTTTTATTTTCCCAGGTTCAATTTGAAAGAAATTGGCCTAAATGCTATAATTTTCTATGGTCAATAAATGGTACTTCTGTGGTGTGTGTACCTGTTTAGGGTTAGGGCATAAATTGATCTCGATTTTCCTTATTTTAGTTCTATTACGAGTTCGGGGACTGTCTGTGTTAGCAAGTGAATATACCCCTTGCTCATAGGCTTCTTTCTCTTTACACAACTTGATGTAAAGTAGGCAAACAAATTTAGTTACCTCTATATTGGTTCACACACTTATAATTTTAATACGGTCAATAAACTGCAGTCAAATTTCTTTCACCAAGGAGCAATACTGACGTAAGATAGTTCAATGATCAGTTCTTTATTGGCAGAATCCGTGACAAAACATGACAGGAATTTATTTATTTTAACGCACGAGAGCATAGGAGTAATGTGGAATATTGTTTTGATAGACAGGTGGGCTGGTTGGAAAAACAAACTCTTTTTATACGCAACCATTGGTCATTTGTGCAGCAACAATTTTAATATGAAAGAGGCAAGTGTAGAACAAGTGTAGCAAAGAAGGAACAGTGTGTTTTGAAAGGGGTTCTAAAGTACAGACACTTGTTTGAACAATATTTTTCAAATGGATACATAGCAGAAGATTTCTGGGTGCTCCAGAAGAGTGTGTACCAATATGGAGGTAACTAATTTTGTTCGCCTACTTTACATCGAGTTGTGTAAAGGGACCGAAACCTATAGGCAGGGGGTATTCACTTGGCTAACACAGACAGTCTCTGAACTCGTAATAGAACTAAAATAAGGAAAATTGGAATAAAACTTATTGCCTAACCCTAACCTGGTATATATACTACTGGAGTACCAATTTCTGGTTCCATCACATTTGAACCCACGTACATTTGAACCCATGACAATTGCACCTGTATGCTATTGCACCTATGGAATTTTTTTTGTTTCACGGATAGTTGAACCCATAGTAACCCTAACCCATGGGTTTCAGCACCCGCATATAGATTGAACCCGTGGATATACGCATGGGTTCAAATGTACATGAGTTCAAATGTACGGTCACCCCAATTTCTGTATGCATACTTTGCTAATGTTAATGAAGTGAATGTTTTATTTCTGATGTGCACTAGTGCGGAAAACTTATACCTGTGAGAAAAGGAGACTTGCAAATATAATTAGCGTACATACTTAATATGTCGATGACTGAAATAAGCATGTCACACTGTTGAAAAAAGTCAGCATTTATAGCATATTTATTGCATTATAAGCGGATTTTTTGGCTCATCTGAAAATTCTCAAGAATCGCATTGCAATCCATAGCTAAGACTGCATTAACTAATACCCAAGCTTTATTATTCAGGAAACAGACTTGTTTTTTATACTCAGTTGTTATTTGGCAAAGTTATTGACAGTTTTCTGCATACTATTGATTTTTACGGTCACTGCCCCCCGTAGGAGAAAGAATGTAATCTGTTGTTTATTAGGGGATTAGTGAAAAAAAATTAAAAAAAAAAAAAAATTTAGTTTGGGTTGTTGAACAAGGAGGCTAATTGTGTTGGAGGTTTCTTATGAAAAGTTGGTCAAAGCAAGATAGTTAATGGTCTCATTGAATTCAGTAAATAAAATTAAACATATTTACACAGTACATTGTAATTTTTATCATAAGTACAGAATAACATGAAACAGTGATTTACATAAGTGTTTCCCAGCCTATGGTTCGCGACCCAAAATCTACAAATTTTTCTGGGTAGTTTTTTTTAGGGAAAATCGAAAAATTACTAATATTATTTCTAGTCAAATTCATTTTTTTTATATTTCGAATTGTAGTGGTGAGTAAAGGACATGTAAAATTGATTATTTTATATTAGTCATTAAGTTTGCGGCCTTAAAAGTACCACATGCGGTATTTGATGGTTACAAGATTTTATAAAATTTATTTGAAACAAAATTTGGGTTGTTCTAAAAAAAGGTTGAGAAGCACTGATATTCATCATCCATTTTTTTTTCATCTGCTACAGCAAAAATCTTTGTAATAATCTGACAAAAAAATGCCGGTGGTTTTGTTTACAAGTTGCGAAAAACACTGAATTGAATTCTCCCAGACTGATTAAATCAAGCAACATACAGGGTGTTAAAAAAGTAATGCAAAATTAGGCACTTTTTAACAGTATTGAATTACAGTGAAATGTCATTTAAACATTTCACAACTGACGTTTTTTAACAGTTAGTTTTTTAGCGTTGCTATGATGAAAAATTTCACCTTAATTTTGAGTAACTTTTTTAACACCCTTTATAATAATA